TAGAAAAATCATTTTTCTTTTTTCTTATACGATCGTGTGTTACATATCTATTATTATTATTTTCCTCATTTTTCATAAAATATAGAATATAGAATATAGAAAAAAAGATATTGAGATAATTCATAACTTTTCAATGAGTTTGATAAATCTTGAAAAGTAATACATTGAAAGTTCCTTGATATCCTGATATCCTTATGGAAACTCGTAACAAGTAATACGACTTACTTATGGATACGAAGCCAAGTATTTAACCATATTCATCCTTTAAATTTTTCTTTTCCCATGGTAGAAAATCGAAGGGTTTAAAGATTCCTCCTTTTTCTTTCGGCGAAGGGACTTTAGTTTTCCAACTTTCTTTTTTTACGCGAAAAGAAGGAAAACGATGTAGATAAAAGTAGAAAAAGAAGGATGGAAAAAAGAAAGAAAGAAAGAAAGAAGTAAAAGTAGGGAAGGGTGTCCAAAGGACAGAGAAGTTACTCGAACCGTTTAGCGAGAAACGAGACGATTCTTGGCTCTCTTTCGTAGGGATAGTAGGCGGTAGCTGAGCTAAAGTGTAGGTGATGTGGAGGAAGGAAGGAAGGAAGGAAGGAAGGAAGGAAGGAAGGAAGGAAGGAAGGAAGGAAGGAAGGAAGGAAGGNAAGGAAGGAAGGAAGGAAGGAAGGAAGGAAGGAAGGAAGGAAGGAAGGAAGGAAGGAAGGAATGAAGGAAGGAAGGAAAGAAGGATGAGTAAAATGAGTAGGAGGAGATAGAGAAAAGTAGTGGAGGTGGGTTAGGTAGGTAGTGGAAGGGTGCCGCGACGTCGTGCGCCAGTAGGAAGGGATTTAATCTGTGCTCCGTTTCACGCTCAGCCAAGTGGAACCTTTTTGCCTCACTTTACGGCATGACTCGCTTTTGCGCTGGTCGTCGCGTAGATTAACGCGAAATTATATATAAAGAATGTGTACGGAGTTAACGTGTGTGTATGTACGCGCGCGCGAGCACTATGTTCACGAATCGCCGGCGTTGCTTGGACAATTCACCCTGCCTGCTATGCCAACATACGAGAGTAAGAGAGAGAGAGAGAGAAAGAGGATGGTGTAAAGAGGGAGAAGAGAGTATGCACTTTGTGCGTTCACCTCGTGTGCAACTTCCTATATACACATGTATATACATATGAATGTATATATACGTGTAGGTGCAAATCCACGGGAAGTCTTCCTTTGTAATGAATTAAAGCGCTAACAGAGAACACTAGGGTCGTGGCGTACCTCAAAGGGCGGTACAGTTTTCTCGCCTCGGAGCGGGATTGGGCGAGAAGATGATGCGCACAATGCTAGACTGCCGGTCACGTATCTTCTGATATACGATTGGTCTGACGTGAGAGATCTTTGAAGTTCATTGCTCGATGTTTATTATTCTTATCTTTAAATGATCCTATCACGAATGACGATAGATTTTAAACCAATGGACCTTTTTTTAAATTTAATTCGTAAGTAAATATGAAATGTGAAATTATAAACAAAAGAAAAAATTGAGGAAAATCTTAAACAAAGATGTATATGATAAACTATTAAAATTGTTGATCAATGAATAGTTGTTACTTTTAAACGAGATTATCGAAGGGTAAAGTTGTTCGATAAAATAAACGAATAAGATCGGCGGCATAAATCTGGAACGTAGAGAGTATCCCTTTGGAGCGTCGTTTAGTATACAAATAACGTTAGATAAGCCCCAGGCATGATATTATTATCTACAGCAAATTGATCGTCGCTTATTTTCAGCATCGGGTCGCCCTTCCATACCTTATCTTAGGTGCGCCATTAAAAAGAACGACACGAAGAGGGGCGAAAATAAAAAGCTGCTTGAAGGGTGGGGGGCTCGAACTTTGTAGGTTTACATCATGTGAAACTTCGTATAGTATACAGTATAACTTATAGATACACCACGAGCCAACGTTACGGATTCTCTTGGACACCCTTTGTAGCGAATTAAAATTGTTGCGGGACGAGAAGCATCCCCCTTGTCATATGCCTTTCTCAAAGGGTAACTTAGTTTTTTCATCTCGCACGCGGTTGGATGACAATCACGTTCGATCGTGTTCTACTTACTTCAAACCTTATCTTATCAAGCCCTTTTTATTTCGTCGTCCTCTCTTTGTCTCGTATTATTTTCTATGAACCAAAGTATCGTGTGTATTACCTCTATTTAAAACACGTTCTCTACATTGAAGTATGTAATATTTATAATATTTATATGAAACAAAAATCTCGATTGTTTTACGATTATATTTTTGATCAGGTATTCTTAATTATTCAAGTGATTATTTTCTTTGTTCAGATATCTATTTTGTTAATAAAATATCTTATCCAAAGATTGTGAGTATAATTGTTTTCTTTTTTTTTCTGATTAATAAAATGTAAATACATTATGCATATTCATACTTAATAAAAAAGTAAATCGGTTAGATACTTTCTGGAAATGTAAATCTTGTTTTTTCTTTATTACGAAAATAAATGAGAAGTTGAAACATTAAATTTTTTTTTTATTTTTTTTCAATTAAAACATTTCGTTTAATATTAGTACGTCGTGTCGTTAACCGTGCTACGGTTAGTGAAGAAGTAAAGGAAAAAGAGCGAGAGAGAGAGAGAGAGAGGAAAAAAGAAAGAGAGAATTATAATTTGATGTATCTCGTTGCATAAATTAAAGGAAACGCGAATGGTAAGATTGTGAGACGATGGACAGATCTACATACTCGCTTATTAAACTGGGCACCTGTATGAATATTCATTGATTCTTTACGTGGAAAAAACTCTGCAAGTTTTGGCTATAATTTTAATTGCTTCGACAGAAAAAGGAAAAGGATGACATTATTTTGTCTTCTTCGTTTTCCCTTTTTCTTTTTCACTTCTTTTATTTTATTCTTCACCGAGATTTTAAGCTTATAATTCCTGTTTTTTTTTCACGCAGTACCCGAGTTCAAGTAAATTTTGGATAATGGAATTGAGAATGTGGAAATATATCATTTCTTTTCTTTTTTTTTTTTTATATCGTTCTAAGCAGATAATACAAATCGATGGATTTGAATATTGTATCAGAATCTAAATTTATGTATATATTATAATTCATTTAAATCTGCACACACATATAATAGATATCGTCGAGAATTAAAACCGATCGATAGGGATTAATATCGTAGACAATCGCATTCTAGAGATTTTATATTACGATACAACGAAAATTCATTTTCGTTGATTTTATAACACGGATATCGGGTAGACTTTATTTATTTATTCATTTTTATTATTCTTTTTTTTTCTTTTTTTTTTTTTTAATTACAACGATTGATGCAAACTTTGAAATTCCATTTAACCAGAAATAAACATTTCTAACGAATGGGAAACGTTGCATGGATTATTTTAACATATCTACCAATTATGAAATACCTATATAAAATAAAAAAGGGGGGGGATAAAAAGAAACAAAATATAGATAGAAATGTAGATAGATAAATAATAATAGATACATAGATAAGAAAATGTAAATCATTTTTTGATGAATACAAGAATGGATACGAACGTATAACTGTTCTCGAAGTCGTGACTATGCCTAAGAACAATAAATACTTTTCTCAGTAGATAGATATTGTTTTCTCGGTAGATAGATATTGTTTTCTCGGTAGATAGACATTGTAAGATCATGCGAGAAGATGACAAACTCTTCCTTATTTATTTAATTTTTTTTTTCAAAGACATTAAGTAATCACAAAATGCAGGGAATCTCGGCTCCTCATAGTGTTCGTTGAAGAGGTGCTGGAGAAAGAGAAGAAGGTGGTGGTTCAGGTGGTAGTAGCAAAGAGTAAAAGAAAAAAAGAGAAAGAAAGAAAGGAAGAAAGAAAGAGAGAGAGAGAGAGAGAGAGAGAGAGAGAGGATCTGTGAAACGCGTCGTGCGTCGTTATACAAAGTGGTTTCGTACGGTGACGCCGTGCTCAGCCCATTCAAATTACATTCCAACTATTTCTTGTCGTTTTGCACGGCGCAAAAGTGGGAGATTAATTAAATTCGTTAATTGCAAGATGCATTTAGCGCGCAGTCTCCTCGAGTTTCTCTCTCTCTTTCTCTCTCTCTCTCTCTCTCTCTCTTCGTTCTCGAGGTGAGTCACGACGCGTTCTCGTTGTACGACCCTTACTACCCCCACCCTAACTTCCTAAACCCTTCTCTCCGCCGTCCGTCGCCAGTGTTAGCGCGTGAATTTACAAAGCGACGACAAAGGTTAAAAAGCTTCGCGTTTTACTGGTCCATCCGCTTCGTTTCTCTCACTTCCATTTTCTACATTTCTTTTTTATTTTTTTGTTTTGCTTTCCCATTTTTTTCCCTTTCTCTTAGCCTTCTCTCTGTATCCATCTATCTCTTATTTTTCTTTTCATTTTCATTTTTTAAGAATTGATACGCGTTAGTCAATCATGTACGTTGTTGAATTAAGTTACTGTGAAACTTTGAAAAAACATTTTGTTTTTATTTGTCTCTTTCTTGTCATCCTCGCTTCAACGTAATAGTGTTTATCATAAATTCGGCGTGTTTTAATTATATTACATCTCGCTTTTCTCTCTCTCTCTCTCTCTCATTCATTCATATTAAATATCATAGAGTCGAATTACTTTCGAGATTAAGGTGTCACGTTTAATTAAATTAAGTATGGTTTTATGTTAGATTGAATTAGATTAAATATTAATTAAATCCGGATTAATTTTGAAACTCAGTAGGATTAAATGAAAGCATCGAATTGTTCGTATTTGTAATCAATTATATGACATGTAAAATTCCTTGGAATTTGATCATGTAAAATAGCGAACGTATGTATGTTTCCATGGAGTTATAGAAGTACCGTTGAAAGGTCGACGATCGAATGAATAAATAATCAACGGTTGATCGATGCTAGCACATTAATTGGTAATTAATCGTCGAACAGAAGGAGATATTTGAAAGTGATAATAAAATACAAATAGCGCTCGTTTTGCTTCACAGAAGAGGACTTGATGCACGGGGGTGGAGCGGGTATTGGAGGGGGTTCTATGGTCGGACAGAACTCAATATTTGGATGCTCGGCTGCGGGACATAGCGGGGTTAACCAGCTCGGCGGTGTTTATGTCAATGGTCGGCCATTGCCAGATTCCACCAGGCAGAAGATCGTCGAATTGGCGCACAGTGGGGCAAGACCTTGCGATATTTCACGAATTTTGCAGGTTAGCAACGGATGCGTCTCCAAGATCCTCGGAAGGTGAGTTAATCTTGTAAGTTAATCATTTATTTATGTTGATTTGAGTTCAACATTTTCAGGATTAGAGGTAGATTATCATACTTGTCGCAAACATTGCAATTCTATTTCTTTTATTTAAACGTTAACACGTTCACAGCAAGACCGTCTAATCGTATGTTTCTATTGTACATTTCTCCACTGGTCGATACTAATTTAAATTAAATGAACGTTTGCTACATCAGTAGTATAATACAAGCAACTCGATGAGACAACCAAGCGTGTACCATTGGTAGTATATCATGTCGTGAACGTGGTAACACAAACTTTCGTAATATGTTCGAATAATATGAAAATCATAAATTATGAACTATTTCAAATTAATGCTAACGATAAGAATATTAACGGCAGTACAGACACGGAATAAAAACGAGCCTGTAACCGTCACATTGAAAATTCAAATGACTCGACGATAAATTAATTAAAAAAACTTACGGGTATCGATTTTAAGAAGATAAACAGCGTTGATCCTTTTTTTTCTCATAGGTATTATGAGACAGGATCCATAAAACCACGTGCGATAGGGGGAAGTAAACCACGAGTAGCGACCACTCCTGTCGTCAATAAGATCGCCGATTACAAGCGCGAGTGCCCATCGATTTTTGCTTGGGAAATACGAGATCGACTTTTGCAAGAAGGCGTCTGCAACAATGACAATATACCAAGTGTAAGTAGAAATCCACGTACATGTTATTTCACATTTTTCCTAAAAATAATGAACAAAAATAACAATTTCTTTAGAATTATTTTAATCGAAGTTTTCTTTAGGTTAATATAACAATTTCACTAAATTTTTAATAAAATCATTTGCAAAAAAATGAGATGATACTTGTGATAATAATCTATTAAAAATGGGTGCTATTGAATTAGCGACAACAACAAAATCTCTCAAATGTATATTTATATAAATAAGTTAGATAAATCAATTGAAATACGCGGAAGAAATCTCGATAAGTTAAGATTAAGAAAAAGGAAAAGAAAAGAAGAAGAAAAGAAAAAAAAAAGAAGAAGAAAAAAGAGGCGTAGTCGGTGGCTTATCAGGGTGCGGACGCAGTCCGGTACTTACCCGTCGGATCCGGCCACTCGACCCTAATCAAAGTCTCGTAAATACGATCGGTTGGGAGGGGTAATCGGTCCATTACGCGGACCAGGGCTATTGTCCACCCTCGCGTCGAATGTTCTCTCTCAACTTGGTTCGATTTCCTCTATCACCCTCTTTCCTTCAGAAAGAATCGGTTCTCTTTCGTACATCTATACGTCCGTTTCGTCTTCCAAACATCCTTTTCAACCCTCCGCGAATATCTCCTATAGGACGAGTAGGAATCCTCGATTCCTTTTCGTATTTCGCTTTTCCTTCGAGTACTGTTTCCCGTTTGTCCATCTCCCATCTCCCCCGATCCCCAGCTCAGATCAGAACGTCCATCAGTGAAATAACGAGAGGGAGAAACATCGCACGACGCGTATTCGTCGTTATTCCCAACCTCGAAGAATCATTCGTTTTAATCGGTTGTCCATGGCGTTTTTAAGAGGGTCGAATCACGATCGATTGTTTTCCGATACATCGGGATGTACCACAATTAATTTAGATTTAATTTCAATGTTTCTTTCGTGTTATTACAACGAATGGAACTGATTGAATCAATCGATGAAACAAATAATTGTCTACTCATTTAAATCTATTGAAATTGTTCGTTTTATTTAAAATATCGATAGAAAATATTCAAGATGAAATTCTAACGTATCGATACTTTATATTTATATATTTATTTTTATCATCAACGGATCAAACGAATCATCTTTAAAAAGTCGATGTACAAAAAATAATATATATCATTTATTCGATAAGAATTTTTGACTCACCAAATAGCACCATACAACTTGTTAGAAATACTGCCAACAATTTTACAATGTGGCTCATTTGTTTTGTCATGGTTACGTTTAATGTTAAAAAAAGTAGCAACAATTCTAAGAAAGATCGTCAGTAGTCTCATATACATCGATGTTTCTTTCTGTCACACTTAACGATACGTCCAGACAACTATCATCTATATTCTACCTATGCTGGCACCGGTGATAGCAATAATAACAGTATTCGTAATACTAATAGCGTCGGTCGTGGCTGTTGCGGCGGGTATACATTGTGGCGTCGTCGACGATAGGGTGTGAGGAAGCATGCAGGGAAGGGGGACACGAGTAGTAGGGGTGATCAGGTATGAGAAAGATAGAGCGAGAGAGGGTTGGAGGGGGAGGAGAGAGAGTGAACGGAGAAGCGGGTAGAATCAGGGTGAATGGGATCAGTTAAGCGTGTTGCACAATTATTCGTGTCCGGTCGCGCGTGTAATGGTCTGCATCGGTGCTGCGGCTGTTGTGCGGCAAGAGCAGAGCTTGAGCGAGGCCGAGCATGGGCAATGCGAGCCATAGCGTCGAACCATAGCCGGCTTTGCACGACTCGATGATGGAAAGGCTAGATCAGGATGGGCAAACTGCTGTCGAGCGCGGTTAGTCGAGAAACGTCCTTTTCGTTTCCCTCGCTGTATAACCCCACACTCCTATATTCCCTACCTACCCCCTATTCTTGTACAATCACCGTCCCTCCTATCCCTTGGAGTCTGTCATTACGTCGCGAAATCGGAACGGGAATCTCGCACGCGAACGAACTTTTCCAAATGAGTCTGTTCTCGATTCTATCCTTCTAGCTATGTATAGCTATGTACCTAGTGCCTACATCCCATTCTTGGAATTCGATACAACGATTAATGAGGGAGAATCGATGAACTATCGGTCCATCCAATAAGTCCTTTACCCTTTCGAGTTATTCCTTCGGTAATAATGGTATCGAAGTGATCGATGATGTATGTTAAAGACAAGGTTCAACTATTAATGAGACTTCATTCTTTTTTAACGAGATTTCGTCCGATTTAAATATCATTTGTTCGATTGATCAAATAATAACTTTATTTAATATTACTAGATTCGTAATCATCTTGTTAGTATTTTTAATTTTATTATCTAGTTATGATCTAATTTATTTTCAAGTTCTCTCATGTTTCTCCTATATATTCTTTGTTAATGGTTAATTCGTCTTTTCGTTAGAACCATTGGCTTTATTATTCTATGTTTTTTCAATCGGACCGAATCAAAGTTTCTCGTTACTTTCTCTCTCTTTCTCGTCGAGTGAAGTCATTGGGTTTACTTTGAGCATATCCAACTTAGTTGTGCCATCCATGTGGCACAAAAAGAGGACTAGAAAGAGAGCAAGAGAAACAGAGAGAGAGAAAGAGAGAGAGAATGATGGACGAGGGCACGTGTAGAGTACAGAGGACTATTATGTACGAGTTGAGAGCATCGAGACTCGCCCCCGCGGCTCGTTATAACTTTAGGAGTTAGCCAATGATTCGACCGCGGTGTGCAAGGTGAAGACGACCGTGTCTGGATAGAGGGAGCGAAGAGCTATGGAAACCGCGCGCGTTTCATGTAATAATAATTGGATGGCGGCATCCTTTTATCATCCCTTTCTCAACGAAAGAGGAAGCTATGGAAAGAGAAAAAGAGAGAGAAAGAAAAGGTCGTTGATGATATTCATGAACTCACGAACGAATACTATTTTGAAATATCCAAAGAGAAGACGAATTTTTACAAAGAGTCACTAGCCACCAGTATATCATTCTTTTTTCAAGAATGTACTTTTGTAATAGACCTTTATGTTCCTTTGACGTAGATTTAATAAAAAAAATACATAAAAAACATAAAACGTTCAACAAGTCTTTACTAGTACTTTTTTTTAGTGGTAATTACGACAGTAGCAAAATTGGACGAAAAAAATCGATCAAAGAATTGAATGTGTTTTTGTAGGTGTCGTCAATCAACAGGGTGCTTAGGAACTTAGCCTCTCAGAAGGAGCAACAGGCGGCAGCGGTGCAGGCGCATCAAGGCGCCGAAAGTGTCTACGACAAATTGAGAATGTTCAACGGACAGGCTGCAGGTTGGCCACCGGCATGGTACTCGGCTACGCCCTCTCATCATCCACTGGCCACTGGTATCCCAACAGCGGCTACTCCCGGTTCCGGACAATCTCTTTTACCCGGTAGTCAATTGCACGGTCGCGACGATTCTCTGCTCAAACGAAGCGGTAAGTTGTAACGAATTTCATCGTTTAAAATGATCTTATTAAATCATTCGTATAATAATTAATAATGGATACATTTAACGATTCATTTTTTCAATTTATCCTATTAGAATCTTATTTTTCTTCAATTATTCGAATTTTGTTATATAACGTATTGATATTAAATATATAAAAGATAGATAAAATCACGTGATATCGAATAAATGTTCTCTTAAGGTTTTTTTTTTCTTTTCTTTCGATGAATTCCAATAGCTCCGAGAAGGGGAACCCTCGTAATCCTCGCGCCCTCGAATCTACTTCTCGATCAACAATGACTGAAAGTCATTCGCGTGGCTCTGTAATTCGAAACGCTCCTTACCAATTCTATGAACGCGTTAAGTCGGGATTCATTGACGAGATCGAGAAAGGAGCATTGTGAAAGGCGTCCCTGGTGTCAAACCACCTACGAACAATCATCTAGAGATACCTTCTGGTTCAACGCAACGTAGTGAACTCTGCAAGCCCTACACGATACCTGCACGATCGTTCTCTCTACCTCTAATAGGATCAGGAAAATCCGTACGCGCATTTCGATCGCGGTCGAGATTGCGCCACAGATGACGATTCCAGATGCGCTTTCTACCCCGAAATCCGGATTACGCGAAACTCTGCTTCTCCTGTGTAAAGGACAAACGATGCAATCTATGTTGGGGTTCAATGATTTAAGAATTATTCCAACACTTCGCCTACACACGTACACGGTTACTATTGAAATTATTTCTTTTCTGAACATTGAACTTAACTACTTTCATTCTTAATAGAAGATTATTTTGATTTTTTCACGAGAAAAAAGATAGATACGTTACAAGAATTGTCAATAATCGAAATATTTAAATACGTTTGTAAATAAAAATTAAATTTGTTGATCAAATGAATGAAAAAAATATTATAAATGTTCTGTAAATACTTTCGTGTTAATGCAAAAATGATATGTATCGATAGTCAGGTATTTACGATCGAACGAGCATCGGTATAAGCATCGGCATAAGCATCGGTATAAGCATCAGTATCAGCAGCACCAATGGCTAATCCCTTTTCTCTTCTCTTCGCTTGGTGCGTTGTCACCTAGAAAATTAAAGCCAACGATCGGTCTGCAGGGGACTGTTGAGATCCTCCCCATCGGTCGTTACGCGCAGGGGTAGCATGCTCGTGAGAAGAACGACGACGACAACTAGGGGGTGTCGTCGACCGTCCTGTTTGGGGCTGACGGCATTTCGAGTTGTCGCTGAACGAGAAAGACAAAGTTGAGGAAGGAGGAGGAAAAATGGAAAAAAAGAATATAACTTTCATATTGGTGGCAAAAAGCTTACAAACTTATTGTACATTTAAACTTTCTACGTTCCTATTTTTCTTTTTCTCTCATATTCTCCATAGATTTATTAAATTTTTCATAAGACGAGAAGACGTTAAAAAATATTAATCTTGAAATCGAGACTTTATTCCATTTGGATAACTCATTTTTATTTTTGTGTTATTTTTCCTACTAAAAATATCGTCTTACCTACCAACCGCAAATATCTACTACGAGGGATTACTTCTTTTTTTACTTATATTTTTTATATCGATATATATTTTTATCTTGTAAACATGTTAAGCGACGTCGGTGTAACAAGAGTAATATATTTAAATGATTCTTTAATAACGAACAATCGATTTATTGATGAAAAACAACAATAAAAAAAAACGATTACGATTTGAAGTAAAATTTGGAAGACGTCTATCTCGAGTTTTCTTTTAGTTTTCGTCTTTTCCTGTCCCGCGGTTTAAAGGCTAAACGTTAGCTTTATCGAAAATGGGACATTCTATACGTAGCTACTACGTATCTCTTCCTCTCTTGTACTTTAGCAAAGTCTACAAAGAGATTGAGGAACAGAGAAAGATAGAGAAAGTGAAAGATAGAAAGAGGGATTGACAGAGTTGGTAGACAGAGGGACAGAGGGATAGCAAGAAAGGTTTCTGAAGGGATGAGAAGTGGCGAGGGTTCGGTTCGCAGAGGCGGAAAGTAATCGCGACTCGCGATAACGCGCCCATACTTGCGTGTGTATGCGTTTTCACCGATACACGCACCAATATGGCGACCCTGAAGATCGAGGGTGGAACATGTATATATATATACACATGCCTAGACGCGTTTATACCCTCTTCTTCGTGTCTAGGAATTCAGCAGACACTCGTCGCCGTCACCGTAACCGTTGCTCCTACCTAAAATTGTTGAAACGTAAGCGCATCGAGGGGAACCAAACTCAGCTTTCTTAATTGGATCGATCTCCTTTCTACTAGGAAAATATCCTTGTCGTTTACCTCCTCGATATTTTCTCAGTTTTTTTTTTTTTTTTTTATGCAACACATCGAATATTTAATCTTTCGTCAATTATTTGTAAAGAATTTGCTTTAGCAAAAATTAATTTTATTTAATGATCCATTAGTTTCTTTGGCATTACGAATTTAAAAAATAAAAACATTCTGTAAAATTTATTCGGAGAAATATTTGGAAAAATCTCTTTCCAGACACCGGTTCTCTGTTGTCGCATCAACAAGAGACAACTTCGGACGGAAATTCGGAACACAATTCGTCCGGCGATGAGGACTCCCAAGTACGACTTAGGCTAAAGCGGAAACTCCAGCGCAATCGGACATCCTTTTCCAATGAACAGATAGACAGCCTCGAGAAAGGTAAATATAATAATATAAGAGAATTATTTATAATATTTATAAAATTCATTTCTTTATATCATTATCAACGTGTTAATTTCAATTAATGTATATATTTTTGGTACATATAATTCTCATTAATGTCATTATAAATTGTTGTTTAAAGATTTATAATTTACGAGTAATTCATCGACACTTGATATCTTTTAAAACCCCCATATCTTTTAACGAAAAGTTTATAACGAGTCTCTGTAAAATATCGTGTTTTCTCAATAATTTAGCACACTTGTTGCAAACTGGTTTTCGTTTCAGAATTCGAACGGACACATTACCCGGACGTGTTTGCGCGGGAGCGTCTCGCCGAGAAGATTGGATTGCCCGAGGCACGTATCCAGGTGAGTGTGAATGTGCGAATGAGGCGCGTGCTTCCTCTTTCTCATATACTTCTATCCTAACTACCCCGCCCCATCCATCCTTTCTCCTTTCTCCCTTTTTCTTTACCGAAAATTGTCTATCTCTCTCTCTCTTTCTCTTTTACCGTTTCTCACTCTCGTTTCTTTCTAAAGAAACGAGCGGGAGGGAGAGAGAGGGGTTCGCGTTAAGCAAGGAGACGCCCTTTTCATTAAACGTTTTAAAACGTGCCCACCGTTGGCAATGCACACGCAGGATGATGCACTTTAAATGCCGAGAGAGTAACGTCCTACCTAACTTCCTGACGAATCTCCTCTTTCAACCCTCTTTCTCCTTTTCTCTTGATGCTTTCGGGTTATTCCTTCACACTTTTTCGCATGGATTTTACTCGTTAGGTGAATTCTATGAGACGTAAACTGGGGTGGGGATCCCGATCTTTCTAGAATTTTTTCCCTTAACGACGTCGATTTTTAATTGGATTACGCCAAGAGATCCTTCCTTTCTCACAAAATGTGTATATTTTTTTCTTTAATATTTCTCATAAAGCGATGAGACCAAAGTCTCGGTGGTTTATAATAATAGTTTTATTTCGTTGTGTCTATTTAAACAGAGAAATGTTTCCTCGTTGTTTTGGAACTTCGATTCCCTTCCTTTTTTTCTTTTTTCTATGTAATATCATCGTCATCGTTTCGATTATAGCTGGGAGGATGATACACTTATTTTATCCTGATGAAAATCGTCGAATTTGACGACGCGAATATTTAGTTAATATTTTCTGCACGATTCGCTAATAAATGCGATACGGTTTATAAAGGAAATTTATATGCCCGATACAATACATAGTTTTTCATGCATTGTTATATTTACAAGAGCGCTCTTCGTAATAATATTAAATTACCGTAACTGTGTAAAACGCGTAATGAAACGCACAAGTTCGGAAGGGTGGAAAAAATAATGTGTACGAATGATTTTCTCATGGTACGCGGTAAAGGGATTTAATATTTTTATATCTATCTCGAATTAATGTGAATTTTTGTGAAACAAAAGGAACGATAAACGGAATATGACGTGTTATGATTTTACGAGATCGATAAGAGGAAGAGAGAGAGAGAGAGAAGGAGGGAAGGAGCAGGAGCAGGAGGAGCGCATATCGAGTATTGTTATCTCAAAACAATGATCTATATTGTTAACAATTCCAAAACATCCAAGCATCGTTGGCAAATATTCACCTTTCCAACGTGAACGCAATTGCCAGTCGACTTCGTTTGTGTTTCTTGTGCATATTAACGAATGCTAAAGAATATAACGTTTGTAAATTCGTTTTATGAAATGTTTCTCAATTAGCTGCTCACAATATATATATATAATATTTTTTTTATTTTGCAAAATCAGAATGATAAAACGATTAACGTATTTATTTGCGTATAATATCCACACGGACAAACTGATTTTATCACTTTTAGGAATAATTTTATTCGATATAGATATTAGAATTTAATAAAGAATCATTAAGTTAAAATATAAAAAGTTAATTTCTCAGGAAAGTTTGATTATTATCGAATTCATGGTAGGATATTCCACAATTTTTTGTAAAAAAAATTTAACCTTTTGTATTTTTAACAGTCTAAATATCACATGAATTTTTATTCCTCATGGGAAATTAACTTCCCACAAAGGTACCGACTTTGATAGCTTCGAATAGCCTAGATTTGGAATTTGGAAGCTTTCATGAGATCCTTGTTTTTTTTATCTTTCTTTCACATTTTCCGATATACATCATATTCAGTTTTAATATTCAAAAAATATAATTAATAATATAAACAAATCGAACCAATCTAAAGACTATAATTAAAAATAAAAATCTACTGAAACGTGGACATTAAAAATAATTACAAATAATGAGTAAGTCGCAAAAAGATTTGATTAGAAGACTTAGGTAATATTTAGATAAGTTAAAAAAATTATTGCCCAACAAATGAAAAGTCACGAATCGAATTTAATAATTCCAATTATCCGAAGGTCCAAATTTTGTCTACAAATTTTTTCAACTTTTTTATTATTAACGAACCACAAACCTATTCTCAAATTTCGTTTATAAATAAAATACATCTATGAAAAAAAAAACAATTTCTCGTATTTATAAATTAATTATATTCACATTTTTATTATTATCTACCTATTGTACATTTCTTTGAACATATTTTCACGCTCGATGAGCAAAAGAAAAAAAAACAAAACAAAAGGTAAAATAAAACAAATTTAACTGTCTATTAATTTCCTTAGATGTTATAATTAGTTCGTGTGGGGGGGGGGGTTAACAAATCATTGTCTACGACGATCATTCATCTCTCCGATAGAAGCAAATGGATAACAGCAATTCCATCGAATGTGACAAACAGAAAAAGACGAACGAGAAAGAGAAAGAGAGACGGTAGGATGTAGAGCAGACAAGCTTCACGGCGTATTATTTTAATTAATACCGCCGGTCGAGCCGCAGGGTGACGTATGGCCGTATAAGCTAATATGTACGCAGCCTTGTTGGACATTGTTTGGTCGTACCGCTCTGATACCTCTCTCTCTCTCTCTCTTCTCTCGAGGGGCGATATTCGAGGACTATCTCTCTCTCTCGTACTCGCTCACTCTCTCTTTTCTCCCTTCCTCACCTGTTTCAACGATGGGGGGTGGCAAAGTGGCCGGCCAGGGGTGGTGATGTTGCCGGTGGTGGTAGTTGTGGAGATGGTAGTAGTAGAGAAGTGGTGGAAGTGGTGATGGTGGTGGTGGTGATGGTGATGGTGGTGGTGGTGATGGTGGTGGTGGTGGTTGGCGTGCCTCTAGTAGCCGTGCGCGGAGCGTTATGTGGACGTACAAACAGTGCAAGACCATGTTGACGCATGTTTTCAAGCCTCGTTGGCTGGTATTGATCTTGCTAAGTGCAGGAAACCGGGAGTGCCAGGAGTGCGAGAGGGCGAGAGGACGAGAAAGAGGGAAAGACTAGGGGTAGAGACAGACAGGGAGGGAAAGAACAAGCGGAGGAAGAGGAAACAAGAAAGAGAGAAAGAAAGAGAGAGAGAGAAAGATGAGTCGACTGTTTCGACCAACGGTTGACTCTATGAATCAGGTAGAAACTTTATGTTGCCTATTATAAAACTAATAATTATTGAATACGTATTAAACGATATATAGAATATTGAAAAACTTACTTTTACATTCAGATAACGTGTTTAAAATAATCGGGGGAAAAATACGATGAAAATAAAAGAGTAAACAAGATGGAGATCTTAAGGATCAGGGGAAACGAACGGTTAAAGATCTTTATTTTCGAAAGGATTACTACTCATGGAAGATAAAAATGAAAATATGTATATAGGGAATGAAAAAGAAAATTGGAAAAAATAAATGGGCAGTTAAAGCTGACAGAAAAAGAGGAGAGAGAGAGAGAGAGAGAGAGAGAGAAAAAGAGAGAAAAAGAAAAACAAGAAAACAAGAAGAATAAAAGAAAAAAAAGGACAGGGATGAAAAGACGGAAATAGAGCGTACAGAACGGCGGCGGTGGCGGCGGCAAAGCAAATGGTGGAACCACCATGCCAAATTCGATACATATACGCGTACATGCGTACCAAGTGAGAAGGACAGATGTTTGGAAGTATGTAGGGTGAATAAGAGAAAGAGGGAGAAAGAGAGAGAGAGACTAGTATATAGAAAGAGGAAAATAGAGGGTGAGGAAATAGAGGATAGGTAGCGCGCGAGTCTCTCGGCGAGCTACTGCGAGGGATCCGGTAGAAGGCCTAAGAGGGTTCGGACGCAACCATGGCAACGATGCGTCCCCGGGGAGGTTGTCCTCCGATTGGCCGTTCCTCATTCGTTCTTCTTCGTCCTTTCGTTCGTCTGTGTACTGGCGGGCACCTCCACGAGGTTGTTCCACGGCCTAGACCGCTCACCGATTATCATCGCACGCGACTCTCCCTTTCTCAACAAAGAGAAAGAAAGAGAGAGGAATAAGAGTGGAATGGACAAAAAGGGATGCTCCTGTTCAGAGGGAGGTATGCCGCAGGATTTCCGACGCGTCTCGAGAGGGTAACTCGTTAGAGGGTGGCCGTGAAAGGTTCTCCGTGATGGAACGCACAGAAAGATCTTTATTGCGAGTTTATATTATAGTTAAATTTTTTTTTAGCTTTATACCTTTTCTCTATTTTTTTCGAAACCAATTCTATCATTTCATTCGTTTATCGTTACTCGTTAAAAATCATTACTGAAAAATGGTATATTATTAATTCCTTATTTAGTCCCTTACTTACAACGTTTTACCAATCGATCTTCTTCATTTATTGTTGTTGTATTACTTATCGTTCCTTTTCAATTTCTCTCTCTTTTTACCCTCGTCTATTTACTTTGAACAGCGGGTTTCGTTTCTATAAACATTTTTCGATCCGAATGAAACTCGTATAGAAATTGTTGAATATTCAAAGATCGGAGCCATCTTCGAGATATCGTCGATCAGAACAGCTCTCTTTTCGTTCTTCTCTCTTTCTCTCGATCCATCTCCGTTTCTCTTGTAAGAGGATCGAAAGCAAGAGGTAGATAGACAGATAGAGGGAGAGCATTCCGAAGTCTATACGAGATCGCAGAATTCCGAATGGATCGATTCGAACGAGTTTTTGGGGACAAGGGAGGACGAGTTTACGAGGAGCGACGGTATTGGGCGGAAGGAGAACGCTTCGAGCGAATGGTAGATATTTGACGGTGGGGTTGCTCGAACACGATTTGCTACCCTTCTATACCCCTCATGGTCCCTCCAGCAAACTGCCGGGGAATGAAATTTATTTTTTGATTCAATTGACGCTCGTCGATGGGTAGCTCTCGAAACCGCGTTACTCGCTACGCCGAGAATGAAGAAGAGAAGTATAGAAAAAGAGAGAAAGAGAAAAAGAAAAATAGAGAGAATAGGCAGAAACTTCGATTCCTTCAAATCATGTTCCTCTTATTTTCCATTTTTATTGTTATTATATTTTATTATTATTTTTATTATCCATTATTACATTCCATATTTATTTAAACCAAAAATTTCTTTTTTGTCCGTTTTTCTATTCTCACTTTTTGAGAGGTTAAAAAGTAAATTACTTGATACGTAAGCGATAACTACAAATCAAGTAATAATACAGCGAAAGATAAAAAATAATCATTGTTTCCATTCTCCTTCTATTTATTTTTTTTAATGGATATTCGTAAACTGCTCGTTATAATCATTAACATTTATGTGGCAATTTGTAACAGCGAGAGCGTAACAAAATTCAGTAGGAAAAATTACATTTTCCGATAATTTAATTGCTATTAATGAACTACGCGAGATCGAATTTCGTACAAAAAAAAAAGAAGGGAAAAATGCAACAAAAATAAAAAAAAATAATATTGAAAAAAAAGAAAAAAGGTCGAATCAATATGCACAAAAATAGATTGTATATAAAAAGAAATATCTAGTATGAAACCAAAGAAAAAGAAAAATCTAAATGAGAAAGAAAGGAAGTAATCAAAGAGAATAAAGAGGGCACGAGAAAGAGGAAGAAGTGCGAGTGTGGGTGTGCATGCTTGTTTGAAAGAACAATGAAAGAAAGAATGAGATTGTACATAAAAGATGATGAAGGTGAGAGGTAAAAGTAAAAACAGAGAAAGAAAGTGCGTATGTGTGTGTATATATGTATAAGTGTGTAAAAGAGAAAAGAACGAAAGAGAGAAAAAAAAGAGACGAAAGGCGAATTGCAGGGAATAACGCAGTTATCGTGACAGAGGGACCGTTTGATTTCATCGGTTGCAGGTGTGGTTCAGTAATCGCAGGGCAAAGTGGCGTCGAGAGGAAAAGTTGCGAAACCAGAGAAGAGCGGCCGTCGATCAGGTAGTCGGGGGTGGAAGCGGGGGTGGTAGTAGCAGTGCCGCACCTCCCGCAGCGACACCGGCCACTCCACGTTTGCCCCTAAATGCCGGATTCAACGCCATGTATTCCTCTATACCGCAGCCGATTGCCACTATGCCTGACACTTACAGGTTAGTTAGACTATTTTATTTGCATTTAAAATATATTACAAACAAAAAATACAAGAAGAAGAAGGTAAATAAAAAAAGTAAACCATTGTAATAACTTATCGTTCCAAGTATAATTTTTTTATATAAATAACTATTCAAGAGTTCCTCACCTACCCATAGGAAAAATAGAAATTAATTTGAATTAAATTAAACATATTTTGATTAATAATAGTGTAAGTATCATTCGAGAAACGAAGTAATGAGCGTAACGGATCTCATTGAAAAGTTTGGTAAACGTCTAAAAGGCGAATTATTTTCAACACCCCATCGTGGATTTTGTCTGATGTCAGTTCAATGTCGGGTAGTCTGGGCGGGTCAATGGGTGGAAGCTGCCTTCAGCAACGAGCCGAGGGATACCCAGCGTACGTGTTCCACGAGCCACTTCACTCGCTCACGCAGTCTTACACCCACGCACACAGTACTGCGCATTCGCAACCCCATCGTGGTATTCCGACCTCCCATGGTGGTACCCCCACCACGCCAGGTGGCCAACCTGCGGGACCAGGTGGTGCGCCCTATCAGCCGACGACCTCCACCGCGACCGGTAAGTTTTCTAATTGACTTATTTTAGTATTCACGATTATTCATCCTCTTTTTCTTCTTATTTACTTCTAAACTTTTAGTAAAGGATACCTTTAAAATACGATTTTTTAAAAATTTCTTTTTTACAAATCTTTTAAAGTGAAAGATTAAAAGTGGTTCATAAACTAATAGTTGGCAGTACTTTTTCTAAAGGTCATTTATTAATATTTTATTTAAAAAAATGTCTTCGTGTTACTCAGTTTTCTTTATATAATATAATTACGCTATTCCAATCTTTGTTTAACTCTGTTATTATAAATTTGATGACAGAGAAAACTGTATTAGATTGATTAACACGTCCGTGACGGTACGAAGAATTTGAACATAATGATTTTAAAGATATCATCTTGTTTCAACGATGAACGAAAATCGTTCCATGAGTATCCTATCCGCGTTTACTAAAACGCGGATTCACAACTATTTTGAGTAGGTCAATATTTGTCGTGTTTGCATTACACCCTAGTTTCAAAGCAGATTAGCTGTAAACTGGATTCGAAACTGAAACGAAATTACCGTTTCGATTTCCCGCACGGTCCCCGTTCGCTGATAAAATCAGCGACGAACGTCGTCGGTGAGCATGCTCGCACGTATGTGTACGTATCACGCGATAACGAATACGGTATCTCCCGATATTCATTGCATTTTGAGCTTGCAGCGATACCGCGGTTCTTCCAAAAACTGTCGATCGTTCCAATCTCGACGTTCAAATTTCCTTACGAATTTTTACTTTTATTTACGCGTTGTAAGAATCAATTGAAAAATATGCAAATATTGAGAAAGGCCTAGAAATTAAATAAGGGTTTTTTGTATAACGCGTACAATTTAATTTAAACACACTGTTTTATTGAGTACTTGTAATAGACTAATCTAACACTAGACACTTATTATCAACAGATATGGCTCTTTGACAACAACGGTCCTTTCGATTATCTTATATTAATTCACTCATCGGAGATACTCACTAATTAACTGTCCAGCTTTTATATCTTATTTTCTTTATTTTCTCATTGCAACGACACTATCTTCTTCGCTATAATATTTTTTATATACAAAAGATACATTGTAGGACATGCTTTGCCTAAAATAAACACAAGCAAGGGTTTTACAAACTAAAGGACCATTTACTTTTTTACGTGCTAAGAGAAAGTTTCTATATTTCGGTTTCTCAAGAATTATAAAAATGATACGGAAAGGAACGAGGTTTCTTGATTATCCTACATAAATGTTTTTATTCCAATACACACACGCAAATACATATACATTTCGTTCATGCATCCTACACAAATGAAAGAATAAATGGCCATTTTGAACGGATTTCATTTAACGATCTTTTTATGACTACGTACTTTCATTTTATATGCATTTTTTTCAAATACTAATCATAATAGATTTTGAAATCCAATAAAAAGTGTTAGTAGGAATACAAAAGCAATAAAAGAAAGATTCAGATTTCGCTAAGGAATTGCATGAGTTAGTAGTAGTATCCTTGGCTTACTCGCATAATGTCTTCAATTTTTACTAGCTTGTCAATTCAACGTAAGAATTGCTCTCATTCGTGTAATAACGTGTGCATGCCGCGTCGTTCATTCGCTCACAACCTCCTCGGTTGCGTCCCATTGTCTCTTTTATTTTAGCACTTTATCTCTGGATATTTGATCTCTCGCTTCGTATCTCCGGAGAGCTTCGGGGTGTCGCTAATTTTATGTTGTAAGCTTTCAACCATTTTGGTGTCTATTAACTAAGCGAGCTATTTTCCAGGAAAAGAGAAGGAGAGAAAGCGAAGGAGAGAGTGAAAGAGAAAGAGAGAGAATTTCGCTATGCTTCATATCCGTGAAATATATCCCACATTTTTATCACTCCCAATGACATTGTGAATAATCGTGCCGGTAAATCTATTATCTGCGCTTCCACGCGTACATTCAATACCTTTAATTATTTCCCACGTACTGTTGATAATATCTCATTCATGTTGCTTGTTCTTTTCTCTTTTTTATTATTTTCGTTTTTTTTCTTTTTTAAATGTGCGTTAAATCGACGTTGCATTGTTTAAAAAATGAACAAACGGTCTCTTTCCTGACGGGGATTATTTTTCAATCATCAACTCCTAGTATTAGAATAAGTGAAAGTGATAACAGAAAGAATTATTTGTAGAGTATAAATTAGAGAAAAATTTTTCTTTTAATTGTAAGAACAAGATGATTCTTCTACAAAGGTAGGGGGTAGTTGAACACAGAGTCGAGTACGTTTTTGTTTCGAATTTTCTTTGTTATTCACGAATCGTCGCGTCCTCTTTATATTTCCCTTTTCTTTTTTTTTTGCGTTGAGTGTCGAGTGCAAAATAAAGCGGCGAGGATTACCTGGGAGCCTCTTCGCACGCAATCTACATAGACCAAACCCTGTTCTCAGGGAGAAAGAGAGAGAAAGAAAGCAGGATAGAAGGGCAAAGGGTGGTCCAAGTAGTTATAGCACGCGGGTCGATGCTCGCCCACGGAATTGTAAAAGGATTTTAAAACAAATCTCGCATGGCGCCGGCGGGCTGAATCGAAGAATGGGATGTTCGGCGGTTTTCCACCTCCGTCGACGTAGAAGCTCCTGAATTTTCCATTTTCTCGACTTTTTCTCTCTTTCTCTTTGGATTCGTTTACTCTTTCCCTCTGGTCTCTTTCTCTCATTTTCTCTATCCATCTCTATTTCTCGCCCCTCTCCCGTTTAACGAAAGCCGTCGAGGGTCGACCCTCTTCGTCCTATACCTCTCTGCCTCCCTACTTACCCTTCCCTTCTATCCCTTCTACCTGCTTTTTCCTTTCTCTCTCTCTCTCTTTCTCTTTCTCTCGTGCTCACTCTCGTCAGAATGTACAGGGGGTGAACAGAGGATGTGGATGGGTTGGGTCTCGCCTCGGCTGGGCGAGCGCTCAATAACGTGCGAACCCAAAGGGGAGGAAATACGGGGGTGCGCGGCGTATCTACAGGAATGGAGTGGAGCGATATAGAATGGTGGAATACTGCGGAACAGGCGCGCGGTCTTCTTTTCCTACACTTCTCTTTTTTTCCGTTCTTCTTTACTTTCTATCTGTCCTTATCTATTTCTCTATCTCTCTTAGCACGCAAGGGGAGGAAAGTCCTATTTTTCCCTCCTTTTTTCTCTTCTTACACGCCATTATCCTTCATAATCGCTTTACGTGCACCAACGCAGTAGGACTTCTATCACAGTCTCCTCGTTATCATTGCACCTTATTTTCCGTCTTCCTCTTATCCATCTTCATCTCTTTCTTTTGGCACCTATGTCTCTCTGCAGAGAGGAGCACGTTTTCATAGTTAAGTAGTCGGTTGATGAAGACAACGTTCAACCACCGTTGAGAACGTTCTCGCTTTTTTTTTCTTTATCCTCGCATCAGCGTAATGAGGGTTGATGTATGCATCCAGGGTAGAAAGATTTAATTTTTTTTTGTTGGTTATATTTTTGAAAGAATCATTTTAAAAGATTTGATTCGAAACATTTATTATTTTGAAGTAAGTAATGTTCGTAGAAACTTCATTCGACGGATTAGAAACAAAATCATTATATCATATTTTATATAAATACATTTATAATTATTTGTAAATATATATTAATAGAAATTTTTAATTTAAGAAGTCTATAATGTAAAATGACAAGAGATAGCATTAAGTACATTAATACTTTAAGGAACATAATTATGAAAAAAGATTTAATCACGCTTAATCTAGTGACTAAAGATAAATTACTAATAAGGAATAAATAGTTTATACATAATATTTACGGAGTTCATTATTGGATTAATTTTCTGGTGCCACATCACTTGCATTATTTCTACAAGCTTGATTCGATAAAATTAATGGTTTCCTTATTATTCCAAAAAGAAAGTTCAAAATCATTTGTCAATTAAAATATCAATGTTCAATTAATGATAAATAATGAGGCGAATTTAAAGTTGTTTTCTTTTTTTCGCGAGGAATCTTTGAGAGTTTATTTGCAAATAGAGAGAGAGAGAGAGTGAGAAGAAAAAAAAATAAAAACAATGAGAGTAAAGTTGTTTTGCATGAGAGGAAGGAAGAAAGGAGGGAGAACGTAAAGCAAGCGATCGACCTTGAATGTGTTTCAGGGGTTATATCAGCAGGCGTGTCGGTGCCAGTGCAGATACCATCACAGACTCCGGACCTAACTGGCAGCTATTGGCCTCGGCTCCAGTGATCCCAGCTATTCGGGTTCCCACCCGCGAGCTTGCTCGTGGGGCAGGAGAGCCCGCCGCCACCGACGGTCACCCCAGGTGCTGTTTCGAGGCCGCTTTTAGCCAGTCTCGGCATACCGTCACAACCACCGGTGGCATCTCAGCAACAACAACAACAACAGCAACCGAGTACCACGCCGGCAACGACCCCCGTACATACCTCCGATACCAGCGAGTGAACGAGACGACGCATAATTGCGATATTTTTTCGAGAGAGAATCATCGATGAAAATTCATTGAGACTTCAACGACAGCGAGAATGACCTTTTTGCTAAGACTTATGATATTTTCCCTGTTAAGCGAGGCCTCGAAACGTCGCTCACAACTCCGATGACATCCACGATTCGGATACCTCATCATCTACTACTTTTCCGGACCTCGCATCTCTCAAATTCTCGGAGGACTTTGCATCGTTGATCGGTGAGACGTTTCTTAATCATCAATTCATTTTTTTTCTTATTTTTATCTTTGATTTTTATTTTCTCTTTTATTTTTCTTCTTTTTTTTTACAGATAATCCTTGTTGTTTAAACGTTTATTTAATTCTTCCTACGATAATGTACCCCCTATATCTATATAGGGTATAAAGAAAGATCTGCGTTTATATCATTAGGTAATTTGGATTTTATTTTATCTTTTAACGTCGATTCGATATTATCAGATCAACGATGTGATGTTACCTACATTTATAAGAACGAACTTTATTCGAAAATATCGATGTCTCTGTGACGATCATCCGTGTATCGTCTAAATCTCGTAGATGTATACGCATGACCCGGGTCACACAGGGTATTTCACCGTTCACAATATTCTATAAATTAAGAGACATGATCGTGTTGAAAACTAACTTTTTTCGGTGATACACCGACATTGCGTTGATGAAATAATCAATTCGAATCATTTCGATCGATTTTCCCAAAGCCTTATGCGTTTTTTTTTTTTTTGTTATAAAGTAATCATTTTGTGTATACAATATTAAACGTTTTTGTTATTTTATTAGGTTAGAATAAATCAAAAATTCTGTAAGGGTAAATCGTGAGAATGTCGAAAAATTCATTCGTTTATTATCGATCCGTAAAATTATTTGGAATTCATCACAATGACGGTGCGTTGACGTGCCGAATTAAACCAAGAGAGTACCCATAACGATTAAACAATTCAAAACGGTACAAGAAGGAAAAATCAGGTTACAAACTTGAAATGAATCTCATGCATTTATAGATAATTTTTTCTTTATACGTCGACATTTAATCACAGGGTAAATTTTCTTTTTCAACGAAACACTGAACCAGCATAAACGGACACATATATATATATATATATGTATATGTGTGTGTATATGGATATGTATATGCGTATGGGTTTCCTGACCGAAAATTTTTTTATTCGATTCAAAAAACACTCGATGTTACCAATCATTCGTAGAAATCAAATCAATATAGCTCAATCGTTTCGCTCGAGCTATCTTATTTAATAAGACGAATCCACGAATCCGTAGCTTAATAAAACTCGTGAAACGGTCTAAAGAATCGACGTCGAAATTCTATAAAAGAAAAAAATACTCGAAGCATTATATTGAAGAAAAAAAAAATGTTCCGATATTCTTATCGGATTTTGATCGTCGATTTTTTTTCTCGTTTTCGCCTTTCATTTGCCAATTAACATCTTCTCCCTCACCTAATTCCTAATCTAAACATTTCTTCTTGTATAAAGCTGATTGTAAAATAGCATTTGTTACTCTCTGTAGATCGTAGACATGTAAATTAGCGATAATCATCGGCATATTGTATATACGTTGTAGTTAAGAGATAAACGAATAAAGAAGAAAAAAAAATAAAACTAAATATATGAAACTTCGATCGTCGCTATGGAATTTGGATGTTTAATAAGAACAACAATGGCTTCAAATTATTATGCGCGATAATTCACCGTTCTTCTCTTGTGATCGTCGATGCGTATCCGAATGGAAAATTTCGAAAATTTCGTAAAGGGATCTTCTTCCTCGGAACGATATTGATTTCTGCACCGACGAACAAATTCGAGCGGGTCATTTTGTTTTAATTAACGTTACGATCAATGTGACGTTCAATCGTATGCGCGTTCTTTTATAAGAAAGAGAAACTTCCTTTTTACCGAAATTTCGAAATCGATTGTATGAGATCGTATTTTCTAATTCACCGCGCACAGTCCGGTTTTAAATATTCAACGGTAAAGTGAAATTCTATTGCGCGCGCGAGCAAAAATAAATATGTAGTCCTATCCGGCAACCACCTGTAACTTCCGTTTTAGAGATTCGTGACGATGGATGCGACGTGGTTGATTCGACCAAATGTTTTTAATGATGCACAAAGCTGAACGAAACAACGCGTTTTTTTGCTAATTGAGTGCCATGTACTAAATAATTAGTCCATCGATCTCAAAATCTGACGCGGAAGCTATGTAAAACACCGACGAATCACCGACTACGCGTTTATTTCAAATTTTAAACGCGATTCGGACTGCCACTGTCTATCTCTCTTTCTCTCTCTTCTATCACTTTCTCCTTTTTTTTATCTCCCCCTACGAATGTACCAAAAGCTTCCTCGATTGTCGATGATCCTATATTGAGAAACAAAGCCATGAGTTCTCACCAAAAAACGTCTGAAAATGGGCTACGACGAATCGAACTTTGTAATAAATATAGCAAACAAGCACTTACAATTTGTCATACGGTCAATAATTAATCACAAAGAATACCTATATGTTTGTGTTAAAAAGTTAACATGTCAATCATAATAACGTTTGTTCTATCGATCATTGCCAATGCGATTATTCTCCTATCCACTTCCTTCTCCTATCTATTCCATTGAGAGTCCCGTACAAAGAAGCGTAGAAGAAACGAATCGAACAGGTATTTTCTCGTAATTGTCACGAATTTTTTTTTTCTTTTTTTTCTCTTTCGATCGTCAATAAGCACTTTTTCACGCGACGTTACGATACGTTAATGTGGAATAAAAACCGTGAAACTATATTGTAAATTATCTAGTAAATTTATATTTTTGGAACAGAAACAAAAAAAAACAAAATTAAAATGAAATTTAAAAAGGAAAAAAGCAGGGACAGAAACGAGCACAGATCATAGATTCGCAAATAGAATTTATCCTTCGTTGCTTTTTATAATACATCAGACAATTTTCATTGTTCACTCATCTTGTTCGAAGATTTACAAGCAAAGGTCCCTTATCAATTTTAACCGATCGTTTCGAAACATCTACGTACGTTATGATTTCGCTCTGTAAGTTACCACTTCTGCGTCTTTATCGTATTCGATAAGAACCTTGAATCGTTTTCTTTTACTCGTTCTCTGCACAGATTATAATAAATAAATTTGTTTAATCGCTCTAATACAGAAAAGAGTTAAATTATCTAATATTTCATCAGGTAACTTGATTATTTCCAATTTCTTTTTTTTAAATAACCGATTGATTAACATTATTATCTCTTTCCTTTCCGGTTATCAGCAAGTAATTTAAAAAAAAAAAAACAACATGACGTAGAAGTGGTCACGTAACACTTCTCTTATCTGTAACAACGATACTAGTAATGAATACAGTGTATAAGTATAAACAAATTTATTAACGAGAAATAATAAAAAAATGTATATAAAATATTACGTACGTATATGCATATATATTAATACGACCGTAATCCAATGTAAGTGTTGTGAATAATGAGATAATATTGTTGCTGTGATTACCTTTAAGATTGTAAGTAGTAGGAAATTAGAACCATATTGTTAGCTGTCGCTGTCTCAATTCCAATAAATGTTATTTCATTTTAATCTTAACAGAGTCACATTCTTTACCCACATAATACCACTAAACAAATATATAGAGATCAAACCCACACATGTTTACTAATACACTAGGAACAAGAAAGAGAAGATTGTTAAGTTAAAAGAATGTACATCTAAGTAAGTACTTCGTTATCAACTTAAATATATACATTTATACAAAATCTTTTTTGGTATGAATATATAAAGCGAAATACAATGGTGTATTTTGTACAACGATCGTTCAATATTGAAGTATTAAGCTTTCAATATCAAGTTGAAAGGTAAGTGATAGAATATTAAATATAATTCGCGTTATTAAGAAGCTTAAAGAAAATTAAAAAATATAAATCCTCCATCCTTACGAATGAGAATATGATGGTCCAATATTTCATCCAAAACAACTGATCATTTACCAAAAAGTACAGAAATTCTGAAAAAGGGGAACATGTGGATGATAATGTATGGTTTAAGTTTATCTCATTCGTTTAGAAATAATAATATATAGATTGAAATGATTCTATTGATTCGCGAACTAATGAAACTTTGCATCCACTTTATGAAAATAATAGAAATAATATAAAAAGAAAATAAAAAACAATAGACCATTTTCTATGATTTCAAGAAAGAATCAAGACGGGACTCGACGGAGGGTTGTGCCTACTAAAAGCGGGTAATCTAAATAGGTCTTGGTACTAAGCAAATAAAGAGGGAACACAATTAGGTAAATGCAAATCTTCCAAGCTGGTTAGATCATTCTGTGGGATTTGGAATTGGAAGGCAATATGACAGAGATAAAAGAAAAGAGAAAAAGAGAATGAGAGAGTGGACGAAGGCTCATTGTGCGCGCAGAAAAGTACACGCGCGCGTGCACGGAATGGAAGGATGGGGATGGGGAGGGGATGTGTTCGTCCTCGTGCTCGTGTTAAAGTGAGAAAGGTGGGAGGCAACGCGGATGTCGCTCTGCTTCTACTCCCTGCACTGAGGGGGATTCAACAGCCGAAAGTTTCCACATGAACGGACAACATTGATAGAAGCTACCCCCGAAAAAGGGAGAGACACGAAGTCTCTACATTTCATCCCTTCGCCAAACTCGGACTAACTTCGGCCTGCTGGCCAACCCTCACTCCACCTCATACACCCTCCATCCACCCTTATTTTCTCTTTCTCTTTTACTCTCTTTTACTTTAGTATTAAAAACGATCAAATGGGAAGAGAGCGTGTAGCAAACTTTTACGCTCGTTGCCACTCTCATCAATACTATTTTTTGTCAAGTCAAAATATTTTCTTCGATGTGTTACTACATCTTTTCTGTTCGATTGTTTTTCTTTTTAAATTTTGAATAAAATATTTAGTTTATTGAAAAACTGTTGTAAACGGATACAGATTTCAGAATAAGATCAACGAATATTCTATTATTTTATATATATAGTAACAAAAAAAATTTAGTTTATGACGTTATATAAGTTTAAAGAATTAGAATCTATGTAGTTTTCTTTTTGTAAAAATCGTGTTAAGATAAATTTTGTGTGAGGAGCTCATTTTAACGAAGCTTTATTACGCTTCGTATAAATGCTGATAGACGCCTATGCTTGCCTTCACACTTGAATGAAATTTACCCGTTAGCTATATCTATTTTAGTTATAGAAGCTAGGTGACCATTTATCCTTATCTTTATCAATCATTATTTTACCTTTTATACTGAAATAGATGATCGAGTTGCAGAGAAGTCCAAGAAAAAGTAATGAAATTAACTTTGTTATATTTTGTTTTGAAAAAGAAGAAAATAATCTCCAAGATAAAGAGGAAAACTAAACTTCTGTCTATACTTATTCTAAAGTTTGCTGTAAGAACAAAATACTTGATTAATATCAATCCAAGGACCATACATGAATTTGTTAATCGAAAAATTAATAATTATAAATAATATTATTTACTTGTAATTTCGTAAGATGCGAAATATTTAACTATGATGTAAGTGATCAAGCCACCAAAGAATGTTGTTTATACAACAAATTTCATTTGGTAACAACGTCCTTGGAAAATGCATAAGAGTCCACTTAAAGGCATTATGCTGCACAACACCTTCGACAACGTGTCATCTGCAAAATAAAATGAAATATGAATAATTTTTAATTTGAATTAAATAATATATCCTTGATAACTCTAATTGTAAATAATAAAATAATAATTGAATTAATAAAGCTCACATCTCTTGAGTAACATAGTAACATACTTAAAAAATGACCATATTTAGATAGAGAAGATAGTTGAATCCATAAGTGAAAAATGGTACGTAAGCCGAAAAATCCTTTTCATAGGTAGCTATAGCCGTTTAAATGGTCCCAGTGCCATAATAAATGCTGTTGGTTCGTCAGAAGCTTAAATTCAAGGCCGGTCGTGGTATCTGATAGTAAAAAAAAAAACTAAAAAGAAAATAAAAATAGAAATAAAAATATAAAAAATTAAAATCAATAATTATTCCTTTAATCCAGTGTTGATTTATCGAATAACAAAGAATAAACAATTTTATTCACATTAAAGAAGGAACGCGTCTTGTACGAATGACGATATAAGGGGAGTGAGGGATAATAGGGTCATCGAATCAATAATGAAATATTTTTGTTCTTATCGTTATATTTTCTTGATGAAGATGTACCTTCTTCACTGACAATCAAATCACATTCAAATCACTGACAATGAGTATGCTGATAATGGCATTGAAGTAACTTTCCACGGAGTTAGTTCTGTTCAGTTAAGTACAAGCGATATATCTCTAGATATAACATCATATTATGTCTACATCTTATCGGCTTTTCGTTGCTGGTGGATGGTAAATGAGTTCTCTGGAATTCTATGCTAAAGATTGAATCGCTTATGAGTAGTTTTGGAAATGACGCTGCTTCAAATTTGAATTCACGGCCGCCTGGTACTGGTGCTGTGAAAACAACAATGAGAGAAAAAGAAAGAAAAAGAGAGAAAAAAAAGGAAATTGATAGGAGAAAGAGAGTGAGAGAGAGAAAGAGAGAGAGAGAGAGAGACAGAGACAAAGAGATATCTGTTCTCTGCTGGATCGAACTTTACGAGCATTGCTGTCGAGATTTGCGGGTGTCGATGTGGATTTGTTCGCGAAAAACCTACAACGTATTATATACTTACATTTTCTCGTATTTCGAGGCTCTCTTTTGATACTGTGGTTTTTTGTCATGCTTTTTGTTTTTTGCGAGTATACGAGAACATTATTCTACACACCGCTATCGGATTATGGAAAGGGGTTGCAATCGATAAATTGTTGTTGAACGATGTAACAGAGATTCTTGAAAATCATTTCTCTCTCTCTCTCTCTCTCTCTCTTTCTCTTTCATGCAATGTTTCTATTTTTTTTTCATTCATTTAAAAAGAGATGAATTCTATTACAACAATGAGTGTGCAGTTAAATCGTTTAAACATTGAATATAATTCACGTACGCGTGATGAGATATTTTATTAAACCCCCCAATGGTGTTAAATATTAAGTAAATTTAAATCGAATGCTACAAACAAATGATTTATTTTACATCGAAATTTGTAAAATCGATCGAAGTATATTTAAACAAGCTTAATTATTATATTTCTACTTATAAATTCGTATATCAATTAATTATATTTATTTATACACTCACCTTCTTCGGTATAAGAAACAATTGCTAGCAGAGCTTCGACATTTCGGAAATTATTATTTCTGATAAAAAATGTCCATTTCTGTTGTTTTGGTACAATGTATAAATCAATGTTTGAAGCTATATTAAGATTTAATTTGTCATAGGAAAGTGTTATATTGTATAGATAAGTATGAACTTGAAAGATAAGAAAACAAAAGATAGATAGGTAGTATATCAGAAATATTTATTATATAATTGCTTGCAGGAGTTAACGTTATCCTGTTTTTAAATGTTTCATTTTCTAGATTGTTCAATAACAATATCAAAATTTTTTTATTATCTGTAAAATTATCTCCTCTATTAAAAATAATATTTATTTTTTTAACAAGACATTAATATAACAGATTTTATATAATTAGAGAAATATAAAATATCTTATATGAAAATTAATAAGAAAAGAATAATACAAAAAGTAAAATAAAAGAAAATATATCGAAAAAATATATTTAATTGTAATACTATATTAGTGATTCCCAAAGTGGGCGCTACAGCAATTCATGGGGGCGGTGAATGGTCACAGGTGCATTTGAGGGGGAGGGGGGTAGTTCGATGAATAAGTGATTTCCACAGTTATTTAAAAAGAAAATTAATTTTCAGGGGTGCTAAGTAATATTTTTTCTGGAAAGGGGTCGGTAGGACAAAAAAGTTTGGGAATCACTGTATTATATTAATGTCACCATGTTTATACTTATTAGATAGCTTTTTTATATTGTAATATTTATAATCGTTATTTATAACTACATAATTAAAATACATGCATAGTTGATACAGCAAGTTTTAATAGTTAGTAGTTTCATAGTAGTAGTTTAATAGAGCGGTTATAAGTCGATAACACATTATTATAAGATTAATATGATGGACATTCTGTGAAAGACCGATACTTAAAGTAGATGTATAAAATAAGAAAGCAGCGAATTCAGACTTAACTATAAAGATTTACTTAAAAATATGAATGTTTTCCAAATAAACATAAGATGTTTTTAAAGTAAGATCATTATTTTTTACGGTTATAATATAACCTATTTAATTTTATCGTACTAACTGCAACAAAAAAGACTTATACTATCCAGCGGTTACAACAAATGTATTTGAAGATACAATCATTTATGCATTATTATTAAGATAGTAACCATTATAGTTATCATACCAACTATGATGCAATATTTACTTTTATCAACGGTTAGGTATTAAAAAGGAAGAACAGTATAGTAAGCTTTGAGATCACAGTATTACTTTTATTAGTTTCATATAGTGTATTATCGGTCTTGACTTTACAATTAGAAGTTATTTATTCTATCTTATATGTTTTATGAACAAATCATTTACAAGCTTGTATCTTATGAAAGCTTTCTATAACATCTATATTAAAGCATTTCGAGGAAGATTTTATTAAATTTTTTATTAATTTTTATTAAGGATTACAAAGTATTATCTTAATAAGGTATATGCACACAAGAAAAAATGTTAGAAATAATAATTCCCAAAGTGCTTTTCATGTATTAAGAAATAAAAGAAAGGAACAATAAACCAGAAAAATTGTGTTCTGGTGATAAATGTATAAATTGAATCGAAGAGTCGCATATTATTTGAAAATAGAAAGCATAATAAGCTTAAAAATTGTACTTACCACAAATTAATTAGGTCATGTTAACCTCTTCAGTTTGTTCACTAGTTATTAATAATGATAAGATTATAAGAAGAGACCTAAATGTAATGAACTGCATCGTTCGTCATCAAAACTTGTTGACAAAATGTAAAAATTAACAATATATAATGATGAAAAATGAAACACTTTAATACAAATTTATTTCCTGTCAGAAGAAAACGATTCGATAATGGTAGAACAGCTGTCTTTAAACGTTCGTTGTTCGTTCGGGAGAACTCGGATAAGATCGTAACCTGAGTCATTCTCCTTTACGCGCTCTCGTTCTCACTCTTTCTTTTTCAGTCATATACGAAGAGGACAACGCTCTCGCTCGCACCCACGTTATTTAAGAGTCGTTCGTCGCGCGTTCGTCGGCCGTCGGCGGCCGTCGGCGGCGATAGCGCTTCAAGCGTTGGCCGCGTAGAGGCGCTTCAGTCGCTTCAGCAAGATGGCCACGCTGGATCAATGAAACGCGAGAAATCGTAGTAAAAACAGAAATTGACAAGTGCGCGGTGGAATATCGAGGGCCGATCACGGTGTAAATGGAACATGGGGAAGGAACATGAGCTGCTCGAGGCAGCGAGGAACGGAAACGTCACCGTGGTCGAGAAAATACTCGTACAAAGAGCCAAGAGGAGTGGTCCACTGGCAAGGTGGGTGTCACCGTGCCAGACACTTTCGGTCTTTTTTCTTTCTCGACCTACTCCCCTCGTATCCTCGTCTAATGTATTTTTCCTTTTCGTTTGATTATTTTAACCATTTTTTCACATCAGCAAAGATCATTATCTCTGTCAATTCATTGCAACGTAAGATAGAAAGAGAAATCATAATGAGTCGTCCTTTAGACAGGACGAGAGAGCACAATCTTCTCTCTTTTTCTATCTCTCTCTCTGTATCTTTCTCTTTCTGTCTACCAATATTATATTCTATCTTTTATTCTGCTATCCTTCCATTTAAATGTCTCTCTATCTATCTCTTTCTATGTATTTCTCTGAATGTCACGAGAAAACTTGATTTATCGTTATTTATCAATTTCATTAGTTATTATTCTTTTTTTGTAATATTAACAATACGGAAGTATGCATTTCCTGTAACAATTTTCATAGGAAAAACCTCGGGTGCGATAATGAGTTCGAAAATCGAGGTTAGGTTATAGCGTTTACAATGATTCGAGATACTATCTCTCTTTTGCTTTCTCTCTTTCTCTCTCTCTCTCCTCTATCTCTCTGTATGCCTGTCTTTCTGTCTCTCTCTCTCTCTTTCTCTTTCTCTTTCTCTCTCTCTCTGGTCGGGAGACCACTTCTCTCCCTTTTGCACGATAGGTTTACCCACGCTCGATTGATCGCGCGCCGTTCTTTCAATTAATCCGCTGCTTTCGTAAGAGCTTTCACGGAGGATCCGCTTCCGTCGTTTGTGCGTCCTACAAGATACCGATCATAGTCCCGCTTTTCTCTTACGATTCTTTCGACGACTTAGCTATTAGCTTGGCTCGCACCTCGGTGGACCTATTTTCTCATCTATCTTACTAATCTTCAACACTGTTCGAAGATTTTGAACGGAAGTAATTGTAATTGTAAGATATCGTTAATCCGAATATTGATCATTGCATTTGCATTTTTCTATATACTACAAGCATCGTTAATTTAAATATATAATATTTATATTATCTTGTTGCAGATGACAATTTCATCGTTATTTGTGTGGCATCTTATTAATTATTCATTTAAAAACGTTAAGTAAAACTATTGGAAACGTTATTCGTATTCGATTATGTTAAAAATTATCTCACAATGATTATATTTCTTTTATCTTTTTTTAAATATTTTTTCACTAAAAGATACGTTATTATTTAATAATGATAAATAATAACTTAGAGATAATATATTTTATATTATTTTTTAAAAATACCTATATAAACTATGTTTATTTATTTTAGACGATAGAAAAGAAATGTTTTTTCATTACGTTATTTTAACGATAAGAAATAATCTTCTGTTTTGATAACATGTCAATGTTTACGATAGTCTATCATGTTTTTTACGATTTTCTTTGATAAATCGTATGACTTGTTTTCCGTTGATGAGGAAGAGGTCTGCTTGTTCATTTTTCTCATCTGAGAAGCGAGAAGTAATATACATATAGTGAAATATACATATACTGCTCGTCGAAAGGCGAGCAGTATATGTATATTTGGATCGACGTTCTTATTTTTTTTCTTCTCTATCGTTCTTCAACGTGTCTATTCGTGATTTCACCGTGACCATGAATCACCCTAAGCGCATTCAGTATGACGATGCACAGAGATGCGTGTCCGATAGTGTACAAACACACTGATTATAACGTATGACCTTAGAACTTTATTACCGATTATTTTAACTATTGTTGTTAGTTCAAATCGTTTGATTATATTTTTTTGTACGTTAGTATTAGACTTTTGACTTTCTTTAATATGAATCGACGAAACTGGCTAAAAATATTTTTCTTTAAAAACAAAAATTAATTTCTATGTATTGAAATTTGTCCGTTTGTTTTTTTTATTTTCTTTCTCACAATAATTTTTAATTCATTACACAGAAATGACGTTTGCCAGGGTTAATTATTTTTATTCTCTTTCGATTGTAGGAATAATTAGAAGAAAAAATGTTGTTTACTGTAAAAATTAATGATGCTAAAATACGTTATATATAACGAGATATATTCACGTGTGTAAGTACTCGTGTAGTGAAAAGTTCATCGAGTCCACTATGTTTTCTATTCTTGGCGTCAGATAAATAGAGCCTATTCTTGCGTTCGAGCTATTTATTTTTAAGGGTCGATGATAACGTTAACTCGGGGGTTGCGATAGATTCTAAAAGGAGAAAGGAGAACGGGTCATTTTGTAACGTTGCTACATCGTTTTGAGATTACAAAAAAAAAAAAATAATAATAAGAAGAAAAATAGAAGGATGAGATGCACGCTAGGAACATTTCGATTCACATAGACGACGAGCTAGCTTAACACGGTTTATTCGTGTTACGTAAATGACGTTAAATTTTTTGTCCTCTCTTGCTGTGAAACGACGTGTTTCCAATTCTATTACTATCATCGTAATAGCGTTCACTATCGTTACGCGTTCGATTACGTCACATTAAAGCGGATATCAGAGTTTTATATGTTCCTTGTGGATATCGTGAAATTCCTTTTTTTTGGCATTGACGATCAGCGAAAGAGCTTTTTGTTGTAGCTTAGAATGGGGGTATTAAAGAAACGATAAGAATATCTGTTCGATCGGGAAAAGAAAAAGAGAGAGGCCGAAAGTTATCGTAGTTCACTGAAGAAAAAAAGAGAAAAAAAAACAAATCCTTTTCTTTTTATGCAAGCTAAGAATAAACAATTAAATCGAATAAAATGATCTTGATATATGGTTACTTGTGAATATATATATTTTCTAAATAAAAATCGGAATAAACGTTTAAACGAATAATTGGTTCGAAATATATCGCGTCAGATTCTAAAGAACAATTTTTACGTTTTTCGCTCTGATAAATTTTCAATTTGGAACAATGTTACCGATTATAGCCTTTTGTGCGATGAATCACGTTCCATGAGTGAGATGATCGCGTAGAATAATCGTTCTTTCAAACGATACCAAATCACCGCTCGACAAATGAGCTATGCGAGAGTTGTTTAAAAAGCGTTCTTTTCATTAAAAACTTTTACGTTATAATGATGTATTACACCGTGCTGATTTGACGCGTGACGAATTAAATTATGTTATATCGGTTTTTTCATCTCTCTTTCTCTCTTTTTTATTCCAGTTAAAACTCGACCAGCCCGGAAACGAGTTATTCGTATTTTTATTTTAATAATTTCACTAATTTTGTCCAAAATAAATGAAAATATTTATATATCACTTCTCGTATATTAGGTATATATTTGCAAATGATAAAAATGAAGAGAATTTAGAAATTAGTTAAAAAAATGTATGATTAAATACAAACACAACCCATGTTTTATTATTGAAAAAATACACAAATTTTCAAAATCATGTGTTTATCGTGTAAAAATCAACAATTTTGAAAGTCCATGATTTATTTACGCGAATAAATATTGATTAAATTCGGATATTATAGTAAGGAGAGTATAAAACATCACGTATTTCCTTGATCGAGCATTGAACAAACTCGAAAAAAAAAAATTTTTTTTATGACGCTCTTCATTTCATTTAATTACTTGGTCTTAGATCGTCGATCGTTTTGTTTCTTCATTAAGTAAGTAGCGCTCGCGCAATTAGTCGAAACACCGTCTTTATTGACCCAGTTCCGGAAGCTACCTCCCACCATTTCACTTTTCTCTCTCTCTTTCTTTCTCTTTCTTACTATTACCTTCAACGACAAAGACGACTTTGTCGATAGTGCTAACCCCACGTTTCGTATTAATTAAGTCATGCTAGGGCTACTCATCGCGCCGCCAAGAATTCGTTCTCTCTTATTCTCTTAAGTGAGTCTTCTGTGTGCATGCACGTGGATCGGCGCGTTTTAAGGTCGACGATAAGTGCTCGTTCCTTTTAACCCGAGTACGCACGTAGCAGTAACGAGCTAGAGGAAAAAATACTTATTTCGTATTACTTCCGCTGTATTAATTCCTTCATCGGTTTTTCTTTTTATGTTGTTTTTTTTCTTTTTTCTTTTTTATAATTATATTTTATTATCAAAGTATAATACCTTCTATTTGCAATTGTTTGTTTTCGAGAATTATTAACGTGTTTTGTATCATTTTAACATAGCAAACGTAGATTTGATCGAATCGAAGTGTGGACAATTGAACGTTGGAACTCCAAGCGCAGTTGTTTTTGTCCATTAATCGATCACACTCCGGGAATACAACAGTAAATGATTCAATCAGACGCGAAAAATCAACACTTTTATTACATTTCTACGATTTAGTTTTCTCTCATATTTTCGTTCATGCGCTAATTGTGAGTTTAGCATTTTTTTCATTATTATTTAATTTAAATCTTTCTCTTAAAATTCTATTTTTTCTTTTTTCGAAAATTTAGTTAAGGTAAAATTCAAAAAAGTATTGCTTAAATTAAAATACATTTTTTTTTAACGTGCTTTGCCAAAATAAAAAAAATAGTTACTTAACAATGAATTCGTATTGTTTGTACTTGACCGTAAAGCATTCAAGTGGTTATAGAAGATAGACCAATGAAAAGAAAAGAAAAGAAACAAATTTAATAGCTAATTCGAAATGTGTTATATGACAAAAGCGCTCCTACTTTTTAACAAATTGCCTCTCGTGTTCGTCTTTGGGTGGTGCAACTTGTCCATAACTACAAAGCGTGCCTGCGGCGATTTTCTGGCAAAGCTATCACTCTTTTACCCCTGCGTACTTTCTCTCTTTCTCTCTCTTTCTTTTCTTTATTTCTGTCTCGCTCCATTTTCAGTAGCAAGCGTTGCTCCTACTCCAGGCCATGTTTTCGTTGCTGTATATCGTACTTGGCACTTTTACCCTTCTCTTCCTTCTCCTTCTCTTCCTCCTCTAACTCCGACTCGAGATCAGAGAAAAGTAATATAAAATACCGCACCCCGTGCGAAAGAGCCGACCCCTCGCAACTTGCATCCGGAAGGGAAACGAGAAATATTTTGCGATGCTAATCGCAACGTGGAT